GGAGAGCATTTAACAGGAAGTTCACGCCTCCCTTCCTTACCAACGTCGCTTGTTGGGCTAGAGCTGGCGTCAAACCTCGCACCTCTGGGTTCTGAGCCAGAACTCTAACCACTGCGCCACGGCTGCTCAATATATATATAGATATAGAAACACAAAAAATCTGTAAAAATCCAGATTTTAATGCCTCTGTTGTTGAAGAATACTTGAACAAACTGGACACTAATAAAGCAACTAGAATGGACAGAGTTCATCCAAAAGTTCTAAAAGAGTGCAAATCTACTTTAGCCAAACCAATATCGTTATTGTTTAATAAATCATTTGAAACCGGTAAACTTCCGAAATTATGGTTGTGTGCAAATATCGTCCCCCTGTTTAAAAATGGTGACAAGTTAAACCCATGCAACTATAGACCTGTATCTTTAACACCTGTAGTTTGTAAAGTCATGGAAAAAATAATTAAAGATAAAATGATGAAACATTTAGTAGAAAATAAGTTAATCAATAAAAACCAACATGGATTTGTAAATAATAAAAGTTGTGTGTCCAAATTAATGAATTCTCTAGATTTTATCACAAGTTCAATTGATAATGGTTTGGATGTAATAGTTTTGTTTCTGGACTTAGCCAAAGCGTTTGATTCAGTTGATCACGAAAGATTATTGTTAAAATTGAATGCTCTTGGTTTTAAATCGAAATTATTTGACTGGTGCCAGGAATTTTTAAAGAACAGGCTTCAAAGAGTAGTGATAGAAAATAATAAATCAGAATGGGAAGAGGTCGTGAGTGGAGTACCACAAGGATTAGTGCTAGGACCACTATTATTTGTAGTGTATATTAATGATATCTCCAACAAAATAAAATCAAGCTGTAAACTATTTGCTGACGACATGAAAATCCTTAGAGCATTAAAAAACGATAATGGTGTTATTGAACTTCAACAAGATATAGACTTATTAATGGAATGGTCGAATGAGTGGTTGATGAAATTCAACCAGCAAAAATGTAAGGCTATGATAAAAGGAAATAGCCAGCACAAAGTTTTAATGAATAATACAGTTTTAGCCTACACAAGCATGGAAAAGGATTAAGGAGTGTACATTTCAGATGATTTGGAATGGAAACACCATGTAAATAAAGCAAATCAAAAGCTAGGTCAGATCAAACATCTTTTAAATATTTAGACGAAAAAACAATGAAACTCTTGTTTATAGCTTTAGTACGTCCATATTTGGAATACGCAGCTCCTATCTGGAATCCTTATCGTCAGTATGATAAAGATAAACTAGAGTGTGTCCAACAAAGAGCTTCTAGAATTAAAATTTTGAAAGGATACAGTTATGAAGAGAGGTTGAAGAAGTTGGATTTACTATCGTTGGAGAACATAAGAGGATGGGGTGATTTGATACAAATGTTCAAATATTTGAAAGGGTACGATATTATAAATTTTTACAAAAAACCCGATAGTCTAGATAACGGATATAAAACTAGAGGTCACAATAGTAAACTGAGAAGGCAATATACAGGAAATATAAAACGACATAATTTTTTCACAAATAGAGTAGTAAACGACTGGAACAATTTTGAACAAGAAACAATAGACGCAGTCAGTATCAACCAGTTCTAAAAAAAATTGGATGAACATTTTAAATACTAACTTTTTTAATGTTTGTATGTTGGTGTGTTACAGCTGTTAAAGTTACAAACTCTACGTAGTTTAGACTCATCACTCTTTAAGTGTACAGCACTATTATATTATATATATATATATATATATATATATATATATATATATATATATATATATATATATATATATATATATATATATATATATATATATATATATATATATATATATATATATATATATATATATATATATATATATATATATATATATATATATATTATATATATATATATATATATATATATATTGTGGTTGTCGTAATAGCATAAAATAAGAAATTATTTTAAAAAAATAATACAATGTTTTTTATTCTTGAAATATTTTGTTGTAAACAACTGGGGTTGATATTTGACCAGGGCTAGGGCTAGGGCTGATATTTGACCAGGGATGTCAGGTTTGATAAAATATAGCTGGGGCCAGGGCCGGGTTTGTGACCAGCCCAGCATAAACATGGCCAGGCTAGAAATGCCTTATATAAACAAAGTTTAACACAACTATATTATTCTTTTATCCATTGTCATTTAAATTATGCAAATATTGCTTGGTGTAATGCTAATAAAAGTCAACTAAAACCCCTTTATCGTCAGTAGATGCATGTTGCTCGTTTTATCAACTTAAAAGACAGATTTACTCATGCCAGGCCTCTTTTATCTGAAATGAAAATTTTTGATATATTTAAGCTCAATTTTTTTAATACTCTTTGTTTTATGTACAAATGTAAAATAAATTTCTCCTCAGTTTCTTTCCATAATTTATTGCTAAACTTTTAAAAAGTGCTAAATACATAAGAAAAACACTTTGACCTCTCCCAGTATCCTACGATTACACTTCAGTCTCTTATTAGTTTCTTATAATTTTCTATGTAAAGGTTTTGAGGTTATCAAATTATTTCTTTCTAACTGCATTAGTAAAGTTATTCTTGAAGGCCTACTCTCTTTTTTATTTCAAGTAACTTTAAGGGTACCATAAGATTCTTTTTTTTTTTTTTTTTTTTTTTTTTTTTTTTTACAACTATTTTCGTCATATTTATAATAAATTATTTACAATATATAGATTTTGAGTTAAGATATGACAGGAGCAGGCAGAAAACAAAAGTCTTATCATCCAGCTCCTTTGTATCATTTACCTATCAAACCAAAAAGAAATAAATAATAAAAAATAATAAAAAATTACCCATCATATAAGAAAATATATATATATACTTATACACACATACACATACATACACGTACACATACATACATATACAGGGGTGGGACCGCAAAATGTGAACACTTTTCTGATTGTAATAATTAATTTTCTGTTAAATATGAACTATTTTAAATAAGAATGTCCAATGGTTGGACATTCTTATTTAAAATAGTTCATATTTAACAACTCTTTAGACACTTTCTGATAAGTGAGAGAGTACAACTACATCTAACGAGAAAATAGTTATAATAAAACAAAAACGTTCACATTTTGCGGTCCCACCCCTGTACATATATACACATACACATACACATATACACATACACATGTTTATATATATTACAATCTGAGTAAAATAATATTAAATACTTTTTTTTTTTTTCTTTCCCAAATACAATACAAATATAAAGATAAGTAATGATATAAAGTGTGATGCCGCTTTTTAAACAAAAAGAAAAGTTAACGAAATAAAAATAAGAGAGAACAAAATAAAAATTAGAAATAAAATATTATTTAAGATACGTCATAATCAAGTAACTGTTTTTTTAAGATACTTTTTTAAGATTTTCTGATTAATGTCGAAAACAATAAAATTAGAACAAGATCGAAAACTCATTTTAATGAATAACTTTGAAAACGTGATTTTCCGATTAATGTCGAAAACAATAAAAACAGAATAAGATCGAAAACTCATTTTAACGATTAACATTAAAAATAAGATTTTCTGGTTTATGTCGAAAACAATAAAAACGGAATAAGATCGAAAATTTTTAATTGTCAAAAATTCTTTTTAATGATTAACATCAAAAATATGCTTTTATGATCACACTTTTATTTTAAAAAAAACTAGTACTAGGAGAAAATCTTAAGAAATTCTTGATACTAAGTCACTTTTCAAAAAGAAACTTATTTAAGAGTTCGATGAATATTTCGTAACTTTTCACCCTAATATCGCATCAGCTTAACAAAGTTAGCATTACCTACACACAGGTCAGAAATTTAAGGTTTAAGTTTACTATCCGAGTACCCCAAAAATGTTAACAAATATAATAAGTGGGACATCTGGACACTTCATTTTCATATTTAGAAAAATCTGGGAGGTATCACATTTTTAGAAAATTGACATCTAAACCCTGATAAAAAGTCATTATTTTCGTACTTAAAAAAACTAATTATACTGACAGAAAGTTGAAGTTTATTTAAAAAAATTTTCATATACCAACTCTTCAAGGTCTTTAATTTAATATTTATACATAAACATTATTAGAATACACAAAGTTGGTCAAAAAAACATTTTTTTATTGAAAATATTTCTTTTTGACTATGCATTTTTATTTTAATTTTATTAAAGATACCTAATATATTGAATCTATGGCTTCTCTGCTCTCTAAGGAGAAGAGAGAATACCATTTTAAAAGAAATCATATACTTTTTCAAAAGATCATTTGCTGTTGCTGCCTTGAAAAGATCAACAAATGCATTCCAGTTAATAATAATTTGGAAGGTCTGGTAAAAGTTTTCTGTAAGCCTGAGTTTTCACTTAAAGTATTTGCCTACCCTACAAGATTATGCCCAGGTTGCAAGAAAAACTTATATCTCTGTAAAGCTGGTAAAACTATTGCAGACAAAGTTACTTTAAAATGGAAAAATTCTGATTTGTCTTGCAAACCTCTAGAGGTTGCTCGATATTATGCAGTATATGCAGTCAAGGAAGAAATAAATTATTAAATAAAAGTATGAAAAAGGGAACTAGCTCAACACTGAAACTTTGCCAAATATGTTTCTGTGAAATTGCTAAAGGTAAACCCCACAAATGTTCCTCTTTAAAGAGTAGCACAAATCTTTCTGAGAGTATTTCTAAAATTTCTAAAAAAGTAAAAGAAGAAGAAGGGAAGAAGTAGCTTCTTCCCTTCTTAAAGAAATTTATTCTGATCAAGAGCGAAGTCTAGAAGCTCAAGCCATTCTCAGAACAGGTAAATAGCTTTTATGTACGTTCTTAAAATAACAATTTATATTACCTTATGGAGGTAAAAGTATTCATATTACACTCGGTACTCGGGAAAGTGACCAGAGAAAGATTCCTTGTAATGAAGTAGAAGTTTTGGCAAATACCTTAGGACTTAGTCAATTGCAGTCAAATGAAATGTTAAAAACTTTGAGGAGAAGTGGTGTAAAGTTTAAGTCAAACATGGAGAAAGCCCTGGATGAAAAAAGTAAACTACTTTCCAACTTTTATGTCACTGAATTATTAGACTTTCAAAAAAATGACTATGCTACAGTGAAGAGACACTTGGTATATATTGAAGATATTACAACATTTCTGGATTTTGTAATAAAATATCGAGGGCAGGTTCCACAAAACACATTTGTAAAGGTTGGAATAGATTCAGGTATTTATATTTAATTTATTTAATTTATATTACTTATTATATTTTAATAATCGTCTTTTTGAAAACTTGTTTTTAAAAATATTATTTGTACATGTTTATATACAAATATGTATGTGTGTAAGTATATATATATTTATAGGTGGAGGATCACTGAAAGTTATAGTAAATCTGTTTGATCCAACCAAGGACAGGACAGAAGATAGCAGCTCCTTAGGATCATACTCAGGAGCAAATACGTCACTTGTTTTAGCTTATTGTAAAAGGGTAAGTGAGAATCATTCTAACATGACAATGATTGTGGAAAGATTAAAGTTGCATGAATGCAAGTACTTATTGGCTTCTGACATAAAGTTAATCAACATATTGCTAGGAATTTCGGCGTGTTTGTTTTAAATAATTTTAAGATAATAAGACATATCATGGTAAAAACTATATTAGGAAAAGGTTTTTTTTACCCTACAATATATTTATAAATTGAATTATAATATAAAATTTTAGGCTCATGGAGGAAAGTATGCTTGTGCATGGTGTGAAGGTTTTTCAGAATTATTTTCTGGAGAGTTAAGAACATTTCAATCTTTGAATAGTTACTATGAACTGTATTCATCTGCAAGATCTCCGGTAAAAAGAATGAAAGAATATAAGGTATAAAGGAATAAATATATTGTAAATATTTTCAAAATTTATCATCCATTGTAATTTTATCATTTTAAAAAGGATAAAAAAAGTTTATTTCCATATATTTAGAATGTCATTAATCCTTGTCTGCTTAAGATAGAAGACAAATCCCTAAGTATAATAAGAGAGATTCCATTACCAGGACTTCACCTTCTGATGGAATTTGTTAACCATGTGGCAGAATTTGTAATGCAACTTTGGCCTGGATTTATAGATTGGGTCAAGAGCATTGGATGCCTTTGAAAAGGTTACCATGGAGGAACATTTGAAAGAAACACGTGTAGAGAGATACTTGAAAATTGCGACAAACTTGAGTTGATAATGCCTGTTGAACTGTATCCTCTCTTAGAAACAATGAGAAAATTTAATAAGGTTTTTCATAGTGTCTTTGGCTATAAACTTGACCCAAACTATTCAATTTTAATTGAAAGTTTTACACAAAGCTATAAGGATGCGCAAGACTATTGCCGAGAGGTAATTGCTGTTTTCTTTACTCTTTGTATTTAAAACCAAGTTATTGATAAACATATTTATAGTAAGCTTTTTTAGTTTTTAGGTAAACAGCTTACGCTTACTTGGAAAGTACATGCTGTAACAGCACATCTGGAAATATTTGTTGATTTGAGTGGCCTTTCCCTTGGGTAGTTTAATGAGCAGACATCTGAATCTTACCATTCCAAGATGAAAAGTGTAATAAACAGGTTTGGAGTCTTGCAGTACAGCAACAAACATAAAAAAAGAAGCAAAAGAATTGCTGAAGTGTTCAGTTCAAATAATTTATAAGTTATTGAACATTAATTGTACATCAAAACATAAACATTATTGCAATCTTAAGTTAAAAAAATTTGTAAATTTATTCAAAAAGACATTAAAAATATATTAGTATAAACAGTTTTTGAAATATTTTATTTAGTATTTATTATATTAATATTATTTATATATATTAGATTATTAGGCAACTATGCTTACAATACTAATATTTTACTAAATTACTTATCAATATGTTCTACATTACTAAACATACTATGTTCCTAATAAAATTCAAGCATATCTAAACCTTTTTCACCAACTTAGATATATCTAAGAGCTGTCTAATGAAGTTGATGTGTAAATACAAAATTTAAGAGCATAAAAACTTGGAATATAAAGTTATTTTATGTTAATTTTACTGTTCCGTCAATATATTTAGTTTTTTTAAGTACGAAAATAATGACTTTTTCAGCAGATTTTTTATGTCGATTTTCTAAAAATGTGATACCTCCCAGATTTTTCTAAATATGAAAATGAAGTGTCCAGATGTCCCACTTACTATATTTGTTAACATTTTTGGGGTACTCGGATAGCAAACTTAAACCTTAAATTTCTGACCTGTGTACAATGGAGAACAGCAGTTTAAATGAACAGTTAATTTGCACGCGCAATAAACAGTTTAATTTGCACGTGCATTAAAACTCCGTTCGAATTAAAACTTAAAATTTAAGAAATTTTTAAGAAACTCAATATTCTAAAATGTCGTTAGAGAACTTATCAAAAAATTATAATGAAACTGAAGGAGATAGAAAAAAATTCAAATGTGTTTTGGTCTTGTGATTTTGGATACACTAAAGATAAACTTTATAAAGACAAACTGCATCCTAAGTGTCGTTTTTTTACAAGAATGAACTGCAAAGACAGAGCTTTTATTCATGAAGATAAACTTCAGGTTACAACTGTTCACAGTTGCAGTTCAAGAGAACCAGACTTTGAAGTGCTGCTTGCTAAAAGTACCATGAAGAAAAAAGCAGAAGCAACATCTGAAGACCTGCGCTTAATTTTTCAAAACACTTTGAATGAGTTTCCTGCATGTATTTCTGAATCTGTTAGTTTTCGTCAAATTATCCCAAGTCTTCAGAAAAGGAGATGGCTAAATGAGCCTTCAAACCCAAAATCCCCTAATAAAGCTGCTGAAGTTCTGAACATCAAAGAGTGCCATCGCTATGGAGACATTTTCTTGGGATCAGTTGCAGAACAGGATAACGTAGCATTGCTGTTTGGGCATATGCTAGTCATCAACAAGGCGAAATCCGCCAAAGTGTGTTTTGTTGATGGAACATTTAGGTATTTATACGTATGCATTTAACTTTTTCAAAAAAAATATATGTTCTAGAAGAACATATACTTATCTAGGGGGCTCTCCATTAATTACATCAACAAACTTTTGGCTATTTTTACATTGCCCCCTCCTCCATGTCAACAATTTGTTAAATTTCCAGAGACATTTCTTTCCCCTATAAAGTTACGTCAATTTTTGATAACCCTTCTCCCTTAAATAAAGACGCTGCACTAAAAACGCAAGCAAATTTTTCTTTTTTTGAGTAACGAAATTAAAAAAATAAAGCAACATTGTTGATGTCAACTTTACTTGACCTCCTCACCTCACCCTTAGCAAAAATTTTCAAAAAAATTTAGACACCTTCTTCCTTATTTTATTAACGTTACTAATAGACAGCCCGTAGACGAAAAAAGTGATATATTAAAAACGTTAGATAGAACACTTTTATTTACAGTTGTAAATTATAGCTACATTTATTATACTTCCAGCATGACACCACGCATGGAGGAAAGTAAGCGGTATCAGCTCTTGATATTTTCTGTTGAGTATTCAGCAGTACTTGAAGATTCAATTCCAGATGAGGATCATATGAATTTTGGTCCTGATAACCCTCACCTTTGGGGAATATCTGTTCCAGCTGTATGCGCTTTAATGACATCGAAATCCGAGGCTCAATACAAGCTTGTTTTTTAAAAAATAAAAGAAGTTTTAGACTTCTCTCCAGTCACCATTATGTCAGATTTTGAACGAGGACTACAGATTGCTTTAAAAACAACTTGGAGTGAAAACTTGGTGAATGGTTGCAGGTATAAGTTATTACTTTGTTATTACATAGTTTACAGTTTCTTTTTTTTTTGGCAGTTTATGAAATTGCTTAACCAGCATGTAATAGTCCATATAATTCAAGAGCTTCAACAGCTTGCCTGCAATCAGCCAGTCCGCCGTGACCAACGCGACTATGGTGCAATTAAAAAAATGCGTTGTTTTGAGAAAAAACTTCGAGACGGAGTTTGGACAACTGAGAGATTCCTATCAACAGTATCATATCTCTTTCAAAACTTCAAATTAGTGTAAGATAATTTTCCAAGTTTTTGTATAACACTTCTTATTTATTAAACTTTATTAATTTTTTTACCAAACTAATTAGTTTAACTTTATTTGATAATCTGTTATTTTCCATGAAATATGGAAAATTGTATTTGAAGTTTTTAAATATTTTTAGTGCTTCGGATGAAAACTCAATGAACGAGGTTGGTGAGAGTCTTCCTTTGCCAACTTCTACTACAACAGAGTCACCGAAGTGTGTCGTTTGTACCTTCAATGAACGAAAAGCATTAGTAATGCCTTGCAGACATTTTTTGTTTTGTCAGCCCTGCATTCAACAAGTCCAAAAAAGCAGCACAGCTCATTGTCCCACTTGCCGAGGACTAATGTCATCTATAATTGAACCTTTTCAATGATTCAGTAAAATTTTCCCTTTTACCTATATTTTAAAAACTAGAATGTCACACAATTATTTAAATTTATTTCAAAAAATTTATTATATAAAAGCGGTAAAAAATAATCAAAGGTCATAAAAAATAATCAATAACGTCATGTTTTAATTTACATAAATGACTTTAAATTCCATTTGGGCCTACAAGACTTTCCGTAAGTTGGCGTATTGTATTGGTTTCAGTTGAGCAAACCCCATATTACGTTAAGGATAAGTACTAAATAAATTCCATCACCCTAGAAACAATAGTCATTTACATGTTAAAGTTATTGTATAGATAAATGTAGCATAAAAATCTACAGCTGCTTGTCTAGCAAATTAAATAAGTTTCCTTGAAGCAAGTGACAGTATCAACAAAAGACTTATCGTGAGGGTTACTATGTTACAATTAGCACTTTCGTGTACACAAGCGTGTTAGAAGCAACTTTTTGCTTTTAACTTTTTTTAACTAGGTTTTAACTTGTCTAGCTAGCTTTGAACTTATTTAACTAGGTTAAAACTAAGAAGAAAACGAGTGCTAAAACATTTTGGGCCGGGATCATAACTTGTTACAGTCAGCAAAAAAATATATAAAAATTAAACAAAAAACTATATAATCGGAAAGAGCTCGTCAAAAAGTATGTGAAAACCATATGCTGAAAATATTTCCTTTCCAAGATATAACACCTTATAGATTATATAAAACACAGACCCAGATTTTACAGACCAGCACAAAACAGCTATAAAAAAGATTTTTCATCCTTAACTTGCTTTATAATAAATATGCATTTTGTTTAAAGAGTTGCTATTGATATAAATTTTCTATTAAAAGCTAGTTTCTGTTAAATTTATCACGTCCTTACTGTTGGTAGGGGTGAGGAAAGGGAGGAGATAATCGTGAGCGATTGACATCTTTTTTTTGACCAAATGCTCTTAGTTTCACGTTATAAAAATTAATTAAGATTTTCTATTCTTGACCACAATTTTCTCCGAAACGACCAACCTAACCTCAAAATCTTTACGATATGGGCTTGTATATTTATAGAAGGTTACTGATTGTACTTTTTATAAAAAGTACAATCAATAACCTTCTATACATAAAATAAATTGTTAGAAGATTAGTAAATTTACTAATCTTCATATATTTTATTCACTAATATTTTT